ATAATTTTTCTTCAGCCATGAAAGGAAGCCATTTTAGTCTTTTCAATGTTTTTCCTGATTATGTTATTTTTATCCTTTTCTCTGCTGATACCTCTAACAGCCAGCCAAGGTGAAGGATGATTTTAAAATCACATTCCCTAGAGAGTCTTATAAAACTAAGATAATGGCAAGAGTATTCAGAATCAGCATGAACACTGAAGAAGAGTTCTCATAACTTGACAACCTCCAGGGTTTCTTCAGTGTTTCCCTGAGTAACAGTCACAAAATCTGTCTACACAAGCCCAAATCCTAGCCATTAACCTTACTATTCCCCTGTTCCTCACACTTCATATTTTATCCACTACCAAACTCTGGTTCTTTTGTCATGTGGATATTTCCCAAGCTACTCTACTTATTTACTTCTCCTTTTTCATCATCCAAGTGCTACTTATCATGTAAACTATAGACAAAGTAAAAATAAAGACTAAGTAATACTGTGTTTTCTACTCAGTTCCCTCTTATGTATTCTATTTAGAGATGTGTTTTAAACTAAATCTCAACTGTATAAAAAGAGTAGTAATCCATGGATTCACTCTGCATTAAGTCAGAGCATGCATGCAATGTGCTTCACACAGTATTTTTAGTGTATCCTACAATCTCCAAAATGTTGGTGCTTGCTTTCGTGTTATTTCCTTATTAATTACACCTGTAGAGAATATGGAACGAATAGTCATGCATGAGTACTGAGCATTTGATATGTGGATGGTATGATTTGAAATGGTCTTCTAAGAATAAAATACACACAGGATTTCAAAAATTTAATATTGTAAAAATAATGCCACATATCTCACCAGTAATATTTTATATTGATTATAGGCTATATCACTATTATATTTTGATGTGTTGGCTTAAAATGTATCTTTACACTGACCTAGATTTTGTCCATTTTCTCTTATTTACTTATTCTAAATATTTGTTTTCTGGAATGGCCATATACTTTTTGAAATGTCCCAAAAATTGATTTTATATGAATAAATGTTTAAAATGGGAAAATTTTATTAGTGGAGGAGTTCTAAAAATCCTGACCAAAGGTGGGAGGATGAAACATTTTAATGTTTTGCAGTATTTATCTATCTGTATATATAACTGTATGTATATCTTCAAATGTAGTTTCTCTACATATTACAATATTTATGGTATATATACATATATATATATGTATATATACCATTACCTTGTAATATTTTCTGTTAAAATCATAAGTTAATTCCTTCAGGCAAAGCATTCTTTAAAATATCTTATTTTAAGCTTATTCTCTGAAAATGTCATTCAGGCATATAATGCATTCTGATTACTCTCACTTCTCAACAGTTTCTTATATCCTCCTCCTCCTCCTGTCAACCCTCCCTCCCCAGATTCAAGTCATTTTCCTTTAGTGAGGTCTGTTTTGTTTTATTTTGTGACTCACTGAGTTTAAGTGAGCACTTCTGAGTGACCAAGAGATTGGAGCTATCTACTAAGTCTCATGGGATCAGCAGTATGCACATGACTGAAAACAGTGACTGCCTCGTCTCCCACTAGAATCCAACAGTTCATCTGAGATGAGTAGGGCCCTTTGAGTCCCTCCCTAATGCATGATTGGCTGACTCTAGGTCATAGAATATACTCTATTTTCTCCTTTATATATATTTCTTAACAAATCAATTCCTTCTGGTTTAAGCAGGACACTTTCATGATTTGTAAGAGAATGATGCCTATGGGTTCATGGATTAATTACTTGGACCACAGCTGGTGGCACTGTTTGGGGGAAGTTATGGAGCCCTACCAAAGGAAGTAAGTAACTGGAGGTAAACTTTGATGTTGTATTGCCTGAGATACTTTCTGTTCATTCTCCTGCATTGGGTTTACATTTGAAGACGCAGTAGCTTCTCAATTCCCTGATCCAGATATTTGGTACCATGCCTCTCCTGTCATTATGGACTCATTCTCTATAATCATAAGTCAAAATAAACTTATCCATAAGTTACTCTTAGTCATAAAAGAACTGGAAATTTGGTTTGATTTTACATTTCCCATGTCCCTGATTTCAATTAGATGTTTCTTATGCAGTGAACTGTATTGATGCTTTTTAATGAGTATCTATTGACTAGCAAATATTTATGGTGCAATATGCTAAGAAATGGGGAATAAAAGACGTCAGCATTCAGTATGTTTCCCTGTGAAAGTCATATTAACAATTACACTTTCCCTCTTGGCATGAAAATGTTGGCACTTCTTTCCCACCCTTTGATCATCCAACAGTATTTAAGCTATAAGTCGTCTGAAGTTTTTATTTTAAATTTTAGGCTTATAATGTATTTACTTTTGCTTATTTAGACATCAATTGATTCTATTGGTTTTCCTTTTTGCAAATTTTCCTGTAACATATTAACTTTTTGCTTTTGAAATCTATCCTTCCCTTTCTAAAGTTAAATGGTAAGAATTATTTCAGAGTTTCTCCATGCTGTTGTAATATCTGATATAAATAAAACGCAATTTGCTTCAAACATTAAAATGCTAATGCTGTGGGATGTTCTGTATGGCAAATGTGTTGCTAATTAGTCAATAAATAAAACACTGATTGGCCGTTGGCTAGGCAGGAAGTGTAGGTGGGGCAAGGAGGAGAATAAAGCTGGGAAGTGGAAGGCTGAGTCAGAGAGACACTGCTAGCTGCCACGATGAGAAACAGCATGTGAAGATACCAGTAAGCCACGAGCCACGTGGCAAGGTATAGATTAATAGAAATGGGTTAATTTAAGCTGTAAGAACAGTTAGCAAGAAGCCTGCCACGGCCATACAGTTTGTAAGCAAAATAAGCCTCTGTGTTTACTTGGTTGGGTTTGAAAGGCTGTGGGACTGGCAGGTGAGAGAGATTTGTCCTGACTGTGGGCCAGGCAGGAAAACTCTACCTACATGCTAACTTAGCCAAACACATAATCAGATTAGAATCCCTTCGCAAACTTTTTATATTCAGTGTTGCTGCTGTAAAAGCAAGTAGGTTTGTATTTTGTTTTCCATATGACTAATCTTATGTTTCTCTTTGAAAACAGTTATAAATTGTCCACAGTAATCTTACATCACTGTGATGTATCTGGATAAGATTTCTGCCCTCTGATCTATCCTTTTGAGTTATTTGTTAGCTTTTCTTTAATTCACTGAAACAAATAATTGGTAATATTTTTTCAGATATTCTGTCCTTACCTATGCTTTGTTTCTCCTTCTGGAAAGGTATTGTAGTTTCAAAACCATTCTCCATTTATTTTCCTTCTTTTCCTGCCTTTCTATCCCTTTCTTCATTTTTAATGCCTTGCAAGAGACTTCTTAAAACTTATTTTCCAATTCAAGAAATCATAATTCAAACATAGTCAATGAGTTCTCTTTTTTGGCAATAAGTAACCAGAATATGAAATGGAAAGCAGATGTCATTTAAGATAACAACTAAACTACCAATTGCATAGAAATTAATCTAGCAAAGACTGTCTGAGAAGTATATGAAATATTTTCAGACTTCCACTGAAGAATTCAAAGCAGATTCAAATTAATTGCAAGGTTTAATATTCTTGTGAATCTGATGACTAAGAGATGAAAGGTTTTAATTGACTTCAACTTAATTTATAAATTCATTGTTATTCCATTCAACCCAACAGCTATATTTAGGGATGAGCTGGACAAATTAATTGTAGTTTATATAAAAAGATAACTCTCCATGAGTCACTAATTTTCAATGCTCATTAAGACAGATATAACATATATGATAAAATTATCAGTGTGATGCTGGTTCAGGCACAGACTAATTGACTGAATGAATGGAAGGATAGGAGTTGAGGCAGATTGCTCATTAAGTAATAAAGGATATGTCATATAACTCAGGGAAACAACCATTTTTATAAACAGGGTTAGAAAATTGATTTGTCTTGCAAAGAAAAATAAAATAGAACCCCTAGCATATACAGTTAACAAAAATTAGCAATGAATAGATAAAGACTCACATATGAAAGCAAACCATTTAAGCTATTTAAATATAGCATTTACTATTGCAAGATTAAAAGTTGAAAGCAAAAGAGTAAAGGGCTAGGAAGGTAGTTCAGTGGGTACAAGTGTTTTCTGTACACCGGCGAGGATCTGAGTTTAGGTTCCCAGAATGGACATAAAGCAAGACACAGGGAAGCATATGTCCATAATCCCAACGCACCCCAATGATAGAGATGGATGGCAGAGAGAGGAGAATCCCTGGAAACTCCTGCCAGGGAGTCTGGTACATACAACAGCAAACAAGAGAGACTCTGTCTCAACTCATCACAATTTTAGGATGTGCTCTGTCTTCCACATATGTGGCCTGTGCTCGTGTGTGTACAAGCATGCATCCCCCCAGCCCATACACACTCTGACTAGTAAAATAATTGAGTAATATAAGGAGGGATTTTCATGTAATAAGAATAACTCATTCAAGTTTGTTCCCCACAGAGCTGAGAGAGATTGGTTAGTAAGAGGTTATTATTCAGTATTTGTCGGCAAAAGCTCTGAGCAAGGTGAGGGAAATAAGCAGAGCTGATGCGACAGAGAAGCTGCAGATGGACCAGGCTTCAACACCACTGCACCAGGAGCTTCTGGATGCAGAGTTCCGTAGAGTTAACATGAGAAGGAAATCATTACTTCCTAGACAACGAATTTCCTAATGAGGGATGTTTACTATAAGTTGTCTTCATGCATCATCCCTGTCTCTGGGAATAAGCCCTGTGACCCTGAACATAGATCTGAGTGAAAAATCATTCAGCCCAACTCAGTTCCTAGAATGAGATTAAAGTGGTAGCCTGGAATTAAATTTAACCAGTAAATGCTGAAAATTCACCTAACAACTTACCTAAAACCGTGAAGATCACCAAAGAAGAGAAATAATGGAAGATAAATATAAATGCTTAATAAACATATAAAGTCACATGATTTCATTACCAATGAACAAACATAAGAACAGACATTAAGGATACTGACCATGGTGTCGTTTATTGAAGTAAGGAACTGCAATGTTTCTGACACTGAATACTAATACATAAGTAGATTATATATGGTTCTTCTTTATAATAGAGTAATAGCAGGAGAAATAAACAAATTAGCTGAATATAAAAGAAAGATAATATGAAAATATACAATGAATGCTGACCATAAAATGTAAGAAACCAATATTGACATAATCAATGCCACTGATTAAGTTAACAAAACATAAGACAGTAATCACACCCAAGGAAACACATACAGACTGTTCTCAAATGCGAAAATTGGAAAGGTGGGATGAGAATTACTCTGCTATGATTTTTAAACAGAAATGCTGATTAATATACATAATGCAACTATTCACAGGCATTGGATGACAACCAGTGGAAGCCCACAACTTAAGGGGAGGAGAAGGGGGTCAGATGAGCTCCACACTCACTCGCGCTCTCACTTTTTCATGGTCTGCAGTATAAGGCAAGAGAACATAAAAAATAGAAGAAGCCTTCCTTGACAGAGGAAAGATAAATTTGAATATAGAAATGCTGAAATAGTGAACGTGTGAGAGAGGAAATACGGTAGAGAGGAAGGCAGCACAAGAAGTCACTAGTATCTACACAATCGTTTCCCCAAGTTGTTGGTCTAGTTTTAAGCTGCTCAAGTACACAATGACACTATGAGGAACAGAGTGCATTGGACCCTGCTCTACAATGACCAAATGTCAGAGTGGAAATACAAACACCCAACAAAATCTACATGATCCACAGCAATTCATTTGCCTCAGAATAAACCTCATATTTTGAGCCATTCATCAAAACTTACAACTTTCATACAAGTTATCCACAATATCCAGATATGCAAAGGGACAGGAAAATGTGAGCACAGTCAAGTGTTTAAAAATAGTTAATAGAAATACAGATGGTCTATATATTGGAGCTGTCAGATAAGACTTTTGAGATGTTATGGAGAAGAAAATGGACAAAAATATTTAAAATATATAGCAGGTTGTACTTTTAAATACATGCTTATATGTTTTTTTATTCTTAATTAAGAATTCAATATACTCATCAGAAGAAATGATTAACAGTCAAAGGAAAGCACATACAGTAAATATCAGAGTGTAACTCCATATATATATATATATGTGTGTGTGTGTGTGTGTGTGTGTGTGTGTGTGTGTGTGTGTAAATGGGAATTAGATGAGCATGCAAGGAAAAATAATTTTATAGAAAGAAAAGGAAAATTAAACATATTATGTATTAAAATATTATATATTGAAAAATATATTATATACTGAAAATACATGCAAAATATTCAACTCAGTTTTGTATATTAGAGCATAAGAGATAGGGAGAGAGAGAGATGGGGAGAGAGAGAGAGAGAATTTGAGCATTTGTTGAAGGGTAGATTTTTAAACGGATAAGTGATGATCTTGAGATGGTCTGAATGGCTTGCTTAAGCAATAGAGGCTCAGACCTTCCCTTCTCAATATGTAAGTCCTTTGTTTCTTCTCCCTGGTGTGGCAGCTGTGGGATAAAACAGCTCGTGATTTAAGTATGGAACAATGACTCTGAAAATACAACACAGGAAGGAAATGCAGTGGCACAGTCACTTAGCATGTTATGGTCGGTCACCAGCTTGTAGGACTACATATCATGGCAGAACTGTTTGTTCAAATGAGACTTTTCTTTTACAGAGATTTATTCTCTTCCTCAGAAACCCAAGGAACTTCTTGGAGACTCACAGTAACTTTTTCACTACAGTACTCCCTATATTCATTAGTTATACTGAATCTCAAAATTCAAAGGCTTGAATACCTGAGGCTTGGAATTCCAAAAGTCAGAATGCTCTTGAGGTGATGAGGTTTATCACCAAACTTCTGATACTTGTTGCACTATAATATTTACTATAATTCCCATTTCCTGTTCATAAAGTCAACTATCATGACTACTGGTGTACTTTTATAGTCTATGGATTGTCACAATGATCAGCTTCTTTATACCCTCTGCCACAACAAAGAACAGTTCCATTAGCATATCCTTGAAGAGTCATGAGTACTGCAGATGCCATCTTATGAATAAAAGCTAAACTGGGCCCTCATTACTGATAAGAATTAGGTAAAGAGAGTACCTGCAAGGTCAGTAGTCCTATAGGAAAGGCCAACGTCTGTGCTAATCCACTGGTATTTAACAAAGTGATAACCCCAATAACAGGTTTTGTAGCAGATGATAACAGACAGTAGCTGTGAATCTGTGACTAGAACTGCCTCTTCAACAAATTCACATTAATGTACTGTAATTGGCTATATAATATAATACATTTTACAGAGTAAAACTTAGTGAATTGAATGGGAATGTAATGTTGACCAACAACTCTATATCCTTTAAATATTTAATGCTACTAATGGCACTAATCATCATATTTTATGATGCAGACTTGTGTCTGATTTATAATTTCCTTAAGTTAGGAGTGTGATTTCTGCATCTTCCACTTGGCTCTTGATTCCTTAGTGGCTTTTATTCCTCAGGCCATACATACGATGTGGGTTCTCCCTGCTGATAACTATTTCTTTTTCAGTCATTCACATGGGAACCAAAAAAATAACAACAGGTAGATTATTAATACACTTGGATGCAATGTGAAATGGACTTGGGCCACACTGCACCTATCCTCTCACTTAGCTAGAGAACCACGATGATGTTTTGAATACCATGACACTGGTGTCTTTCATCTAAATTGTCCTAGAAATGTCTGTGTTTTTCCATTCTCCAGTGTTTAGTTACTCGGGTCTTTGTGAAAAACAGTCAGGGGGATATCTATTGTGTATACTTCATGTGGCGTTCCATACATTTGTCAAGGTGACAGTGCTATGGATTTTGAGACGTGAAGTGTGGAGATTGAATTGAAAATTAGATTTTCTTATATGTGCAGTTTGTAACACATTTCTGTGCTTCTCATCTTTCTCTCTCCTCTTCTTGGTCAGCGTCACATCTACCCCATGTCTGAGAATAGCAGGTCCTACTAGCTAGGGTCAGAGATTCTTGAAGGTCACGACAGCTTGATACCAAGTCATTGTTGTCATTGTCTTGGCTTCATCCGCTTTCAATTATACCATCATCTATTGATAGTAAGAAGCCTAACTTGATAACATTAACTCTATCATCACCCGCAGCCCATAAGGCACACCCAGAGTGAACCAAGCTTCTTAAATTAGTGAACTACTCCTCAGTTCCTCCTAGAGCATACATGTGGCTCCTCTGCTTTCTTCCTTTTCTTCTTGCCTTTCCCCTTGCCTTGTTATTCTCTCTCCTTTTCTTTATTTTATTAGTTTTTGTTGTTGTTTAGCTTGTTGGTTTTGGTTTTCTATTACATGCCTGTATCAGGCTGTGAGTGCTTAAATCTTACACATTAAGTTCATTTTGACATTTCTATCTTTCTGATACTTTTGACTTCTTTCTTGATACCATTTTGAGGAGTCAGAGATTTTTTATTGAGTTTGTTATATTCCAGTTCTAAGGATCTACCTCAACAAAGTAGTATGAGAGAAAGAATTTAGTGTCATTTCCAGATCATCTAATAATGAGGTACAAATGAGTTCCCCAAGTCAGTCAGTTTTCTCATATTCATCTTATATTTCACCTCTTTTTTGACCTTTAAGTACTTTTATTCTTATTTTCTTCTTGAGTTCCATTATTAGCTATTAGCCAGGTCTGTAAATTCCTCTGGTGCATGGGCTATTTCCTTATAGAATCAAATTACACCACCATCATCAGGATGTTCTGAGACATGACTCCTGCCATTGACTACAGGCAATGAAAGGAGGTATTTGAAAAATTAAGAGAAGAGTTATACTGAGACACACTTGTCTTAGATTACATCAGTGTTATTATTTTGTGGCTAAGATAAGCAACGGCATGGAAGTTTCAAATAAATTCTGGCTTTACCCTTCATACTACTGACCTTAGGCAAGCTCTGGCCATGGGGTCCATAGTGCCTGATTGTTTTGACAGTAGCCAAATAGTTTCTAATTGGATTTGAGACCTTCATTGGAAGGAATAAATACCCGGTACTGGAAACCTGGCAAAAAAATCTATAGCAGAGGAAGTCACAGGCCCTAAGGGGGCACTACTAATGATTTTATGATAAATGACACATTGCAAACTATCTCCTGAAAATGTTCATGCCTTCAGATTGCTCTCAACCTTGGCCAGAGAAGCTAGTTTTTAAATGGGTAAAGGCTAATAGAGACAGTCATAAAAGTCAAAACATCAAAAATAAGTTATTATTTGGTGTTAGACCCTAAGTATGTTATCACTATCTTCACCTTCGAGGCCCAGAGACCAGCATGGCAAAGGGTGTAGAAAGACTGTAAGAGCTGAATGATGGGAAGGAGTACTATGTGTGCTGACTTTTGACTGTGACATGGGCTGATATAATTATGTAATTGTACAGTAGCTGTGGCTATCTGTACAGAGCTGTACACACACACACAAAGACATCAATGTAGGAGGGGTAGTATTGGGAGGAAGGAGTGGTTGAGCATGGGTGGTGGTGGGTAAAGAAGGTAATGGGGATGCTTTCCTAGTCTTCAGAGAAGAATCGTGAGGGCAAAGACTTCAGTAGCACTGTTTAATTATTTGATTAACTTCTATTCATTTAGGAGTCAGGAAACTAGGGAGGAAGAGAGGAAACAAGTCAATATAGGATTGTTGTAATTTTGGCCAATACTTATTGGTGTGTGTGTGTGTGTGTGTGTGTGTGTGTGTGTGTGTGTGTATGTGTGTACTTTTCATCCATTTATCATCACATTAAAGAAACTGAGAAAATCAGACTAAATGCCCTTTATTGATAAAAGATAAAGAATTTATCAATATCCCCTGTCTTCCCTTAACCAACACTTCAGTACACTGAAAATTAATTGCCCTGTGTATCATGGTTACACACGAATAAGAGAACCATGACGACAGTGTGAGAGGTCATGCTCCAACATCAACATGAAATCCTTACAAAGGTGGAAAAAGAATGGACATGAGGCAAGATAACCATGAACTGTGACAGCAGCAATATGAGTAGAGACTCTGCAGAATAACAGTTGGCTTTATAGGCCAAATGTACATGGACAGATGAATCCAAATAAACACAAATGATCAACATTGCCTACAGTTGACACCACATCGTATGTTTTCATGCCCCAATTTTCCCAAACCCTCTGTTCATATTGTTTTATGGAATGCTAAATTATCCCAGTGTCTGGTAACAGTGAGTAAAGAGATAATAATAAAACTTAAGAAGGCAATGTTCCTAACTACTATTAAAAGTAAATTTATCTCAGGAACTAATGGCTATTCAAATTTTGGCCATCAAAATTTGCTGTCTGTACTAGATATGGGAAGCTGCTGCTCACACCTGAGAGGTGAGTATGCAAAGCCCTCTTAGAATGAATAGTCTTTAGAAACAGTTTTCCCTTCTTTTCAAGAACTCCTTTGACTCACTGACTTTTTATCTTTCAATTTAAAGGATGACTGAGGAAGAGTATTCTGGGCATAGATTTGTGATGTTTAAAGTGAACATTTTCAACAGAAAAAAATCTGCATCAGCAATGGCCCTGAACAAAGAATGCAGTCTAGGGGACATAAGTTACTCATTGGTGGAACAGTTATATTGCTTCTCCTGGATAATAATGGCTCTTAATAATCTGGAAGAGGATAGACAGACAAGGCTTGGCTCTATAAAATTTGTCTTCATTGGGATATTTTGTCATCTGAAAAAGAAAAGAGTCACACAAGATCTAATCTCTCATCATGTTGTTTAAAATAAATGAATCACTATACCATATTAATGGAGTATTTATACATTTGTATATGAGAAAATGATGGGAGTTGAAGCACTTATATTTACTCCAAAGTCTGGAAATTAAAAATGGTCAACTCTACCACAACAACAAAAAAGCACTCTAATTTTTTCTGCAATTTTATGGGCAGCATTAGGTTTCTGTGAGTCCCTCAAATTCATTTAAATGGACTGCTTAGGGATTTAACGGGCATGGTTTGAACTGTGATGCATTTATAGTCAGGAAAAAGAAGTCCATCTCTGCAACTTAACTTTATAATAATTATCTTCAAAACATGAAGAGTGGAGGGAGAGAATCTGGGTCCCTCTTATGCTTCTTCCCTCTTCTAGACTTTGTCTTCATGCTTGCATAACATCAAGACAAGAGTCCCTTCTTGAGTCTCCACTGGGAGCTAGAGAAAGACAAAGGAACAAAAGAGGAACCTGTGTAAGATAAACAAAAACACCCACAGAATCCTTGTTGAATATGTCTCTGCATCTCACAGCCTCCATTAACCTCTGTTGGCATGAGAGCCAAAGTGAGGACTTTGCTTAAAGCATTCCTATTCTTAGCAAAAGTTCTATACACTAAGGAGAGGGAAGTGGAGACTAGTCTCCATAAAGATAATAGAACTGTCTAAAGATCCCTTGAACTCTGGATGCAATTTAATTAAAACCAGTAAATTTGGTGAACTATATTTTTAGGGAAATGATGAATGGCACTACTTACTCATTTTTGTTATATTTGAGAACTTAATTTTTCATGTGTGGCTATTGCAACAGACTGCCTACTTCATTTCATGAATTATACTACTGAGAATGAGACACTAAAGTAACTTTTACATACTAAAATATTTTTACACACTTCACATAAAATGATAATCTTCATTAGAAAACATTTAGTTTTTCATGCATAGGACCAATTTGCAAAATCTGAAGTGTATTTTTGAGTAGATTACCAATATCAGTTCCAAATGACATTTCTTTGTTGCCAGCATGCTGAGAGCACAGACTGCTGCTGGTCTTCACATCTAAATTCAGTATTTTATAGGCTAGTTTCTAAGGTCTGAAAATAGTCACCTCTTAAAAAATATTTCTTTATATATATATATATATATATATATATATATATATATATATATATACACACACACACACACACACACACACACACACACACACACACACACATACACATTCACATCAAGGTCTTCCTGACTTGTCTGGAACCTGCTTTGTATTCTAGCTAGGCTGGCCTCAATCTTGTGGTGGTCCTGTCTCTGCCTCCTCAGTGTTAGGATAACAGCCATGAACCATCATGGCTAGCAAAGTTCCTATTTATGTTTTACCTTCTCGTAATATATAAATCTTAGTTACTCTAAGTTTTTCATTGTTTTAAGGTTTCTAGTTTTTAAGGGATTTAACATTGGTAACTAAAAATGAACAGATTATTTAATGACATTTAGGTGATGAAACATGGTATGGATTTAAGGTCTAACACTTGTTGTAATGTTCTGGCTAAATGGCTCTCTCATATCAACACGATATATTTTTCTGAATGTAAATCCTGTACTAATTCATATCTAATATAAGCCAATATTACAGATTTATGTATAATTTCAAGTCCTCTGTGAATTCAATTAGAATTAATTCTACTTCATTTTGAACAAATTATTGAATCCATTTTTCAAATCTAATTCTGATCTTGGTGATTTGAGATGATTTGTGTTTTAGAAACATTTATATGCAAGTATTTATGGCAGGATATCAAATTTATCTCATTGCATGTGAGGTTCAGATTAAATAAAAATTTCTCTAATTATAAAGGAAAATATAGACTATTACATATAAAACCTTTACACTCATTTTCTTCTGCCTAACGGATTCAGGAAGGAAAACGTGGAAATACAATTGAGATAACAATAAGCCAGAAATTTTAAAAAGAAAAATGAAATGGAAGAGATGTTTTCTTCACATGATACATGCATAAATGTATGCTTTTATATGTGATTTTTGAATATGTAGCTATAATATTCTGAAGGAGTAGAGTTGGCAAAATGAACTCACTGACTCACTTTATTTTCTCTTTTTACACCCCTGGAAATCTGATCTGCAGAGTAGTTCTCTCCCTCAGTAAATCCTTCACTAGCTCCTTGTCTTGAATTACAAAAATGCTCCTGGTATTTGATTCACTTAAACTCTTCAGCTTTGGAACTGGTGGGTATATCCAGAGAGAGAGTTATTAAAAACTCCAAACTTAACTTGCAACTGAATCTTCTGCCCCCCACCCCCGGTCTGCCATGCTCCAGAGGCATGGTGCAGCCGAACTCATGGCAAGAGAGAGACTGAATTTTCCAAGTTATCTTTCTTTCTATTCTCATAGTTAACTTACCTTGTTTTGGATTGCACCAGGCTCCAGGATGGTGGAAGAAGACGGAGAGAACCTGAAGGATTTTGGGTCCTGGGGCTTGTGTGCCCGCTTCCATCTATTAGGGCGACCTCATTCAGTGGGACTCAAAACTGACCATCTATCCTTTGTAGAATTTCCGTTCTCTGCAGGGCTCCTCAGGCAAACCTTGGCTCCACTCCTTGCTTACATTTATCCAACAGCAGTTTCTTCAGGATCAGAATTCTCTCTCTGGAGATTTTTCGGTTGCAATTCAGCTGCCTTTCAGACAATTTTTTCATGAGATCAAGTCCAATTAAGATTGCTCCAGATCACATATGTGTATTGCATTAAACGTCTTGTATTTTGGTCCATTTCCAATCATAATTTATGTTGCTTTTAAAAGAAGAGCCTACTATGCTATTGAACAAAACTCCTTATCTCTTATGAGTAAGTAAGTTGTCTACAATGGTAGCCAAATGGTTCTACATGAGTCAACAGCTTCACGCTGGTAGTTGATGCATTCATCCAAAAGGAAGACACTACTACTGTCCCCAACAGCGGTGTCTCTATTTGCTTCTTTGCTTGTGCCTCTGCACAAATATCCATTCATTTCAAGATTATTAATATAATGAATAGCTTTTTCACATGAGCAAAAGGTATAGAGAAGACTATAATAGATTGTTTCTCCTGATACCATTTATTTACTTCAACACATGTCCAGAGCAACTATAAAGCATTTAGATCATAGCTCTAGCCACTGTCTCCCTCCAATATCTCAGATTCTGATACAGTATGTTTACTAATGGAACCTACTTAAGATTGTTTCCCAAAATCAATATTATTTCTTTTAAGGCCCAGGTTAGATAGACATAAATACATTCCCTTCAACAATATCAATGCTTTATATAAAAGCAAAGGGAATTGTGTTAATTAGAAATATATACCAGCAGCAGAGGTTACAGATGTGCCAGCTCAGGATCTTGAGACAAAAGCCATTCTAAACTTAGGACTGAGGGTGTTTGTAAGAAGAGGACATAGAGACAAGGGGAAAAGGCCAAACAGAGACTGGGAAGCCAGTGCTTCAGAAGGAATACCAGGAAGCACCAGAAACCAAAAGTCACACCAGGATCTCCCTGCCTCCCAGAAGGGACAGTGCTGCTGCTGACTGAGGAGAAGAGGGAAAAGGAAGGGACTACACTAGATGAAGTGGGTACAGAAGTCTCTGTGAACTCTCCTGAGGCCTTGGAGGCAGAACTCGAGGTATCATGATGTAAGGAAAGAATATTCTAGCCAGGAAAATGACAAATGAAGAAAATAATGGCCAAGGTAGTTCATGGTGGCAAACAGGTAGATAACAGGAATATAGTGAGTAAGGCAATCCAAGCCTGTTCAGTACTCAAGTTCTTGAAATTCAGTTTTCTACTGAAGACTTCCAATGGTGTCTTTCCGAAATATCTATTACTCATGTGCACATAGGTGGGAATGAATGAATGGTACTCAGCATTTCCTACAGCTGTAGCCCTTTAATACAGTTCCTCAAATTGTGGTGACCCCCACCATAAAATTATTTTTGATGCTACTCCATAACTGTAATGTTGCTACTATTATTAATTATAATATAAATATCTGTGTTTTCTGATGGTCCTAGGTGACCCCTGTGACAGAATCATTTGATTCCCCAAGGGGTCCTGGCCTACAGATTGAGAACCACTAACAAGAATGAAAAGCTAAAGGTATTGTGCAATCTTGAGTGACTCTAAGAGAAAAAAGCCATGGTGACTAGGCCAAAACAGACATTGGCTTTATCCATTTCTCTCCCTCCCTTGGTCTGGGCTCCATTTACTATGATAGTAACTAAGATATTTTGCCTGTACAAATTACAGCATGATAAACATAACAGTATTTTAAAAAATGATCCACCTGTTGTCCTCACTTTACATGTATGATTTGCTTGGGCTAGACATTGAAAACAGACTAAAGCGAAAGCTCCTTAAAACTGAATCACTGACAAGGGGTGATTGAATACATACATATAAGTAATATTATAGAGACTGAGCAGGTTGTATTTAGGAATGTATGTATGCATGTAAAAACAATTAATGAAAAAATTCCATGAATTTGAAAGAGAGCAAGAAGGGATATATGAAAGGATTCAGAGGGAGAAATGAGGGGGACGTGATGTAATTATATTATGATCTCAAAATATAAAAGAAGTAGTTAAAATATTGAATCACTGCTGCTTTTCACAACTCCCTTGGCACACCTCCAATCTTTCTTCTTCCACCTTCCCATCCAGGACTCTGTTTCTGGCATACATAGTTGGAAAGACCCCAGATTCCAAGTTAAGAACCATGTCCTGGAACATGTAATGAATGAATGCCTCAAATGTTAACTCAATTCTATAACCTAAAATGAAAGAAACAAACCATAAAAAAAGATTAAAATGTAACTTTGATGAATAGCTCTCTCTATGCTGATGCACTGAAATGTGCACAAAAAATCTATCCTTTAGTAAACAGAAATGTTGAATTAAGAATTGTTACAAAAATTACTATTTTTACTTATTTTCATGAATATAATTTCCATCTAATGTGAGCAATCACATATAATGTTTCATTATTTTGAATAAAATGATGATAAATATTCTAGTGAGTATTGGCAACTAACCAGAATAGATGTATCATAGAAAATATTTTGAAGATAAATGACATATTAATTAAATTACTATAAAACTATCTAATGCATTTAATGATTTATTGATTAAATACTGTTGTCAGTGCTATACATTACATATGTACTATGGTTAACCATATGTACCCTGATGAATTAATACCACTTATATTCAAATGAAACTCACTACTGATGAAAGGGGACATGCAAGTTAGCAATTTTGAAGCGATCTATGAAATGTCGGGGCAATGATGACATGATGATAAAGGAGTTCTGTGAATGGTGGGAAGAAAACACTGCAGAGGTGGCATCCTAAAAGAACCAGTGCTTGAAGTGGAGAAGTTAGCCACACACAACTCATCAGGCAAGAATGAAGAAATGAGAGTCCTAAAAAGGAACATAGAAAAAGTCCCAAAGCATGAAATAAAGTGCATAGTACATCATAAGGGGTCATGGAGAATTAACTGAATCAAGCCCCAAATATAGAAGGCCTTACAAGCTAACTTATGTTGTACCACAATCAAGTGAGTAAATAAATGAAAGATACAAATGATCTACCTTCTGACAGTCTATGCTCCTACCTTAGGATACAAATGCATTTTCCCTCAGTTGAAGAGTCTCTCCTCCAGATGGTTCCCAAACTGAAACTGTCACTCAAGCTGCTCTAGAACTCTCTCCTTAGAAGAGTCTTTCTTGCCTTTGTTTACACTAAAGTGGTGCTGCTCTCCAGTCCTTTGTAAAATTCTCATTTTCCTTATGAAAAGCTTACACATAGGAAAAATGCTAATGTAGGACAAATACCATATTTACAACTTTATATAACATACATCCCCTGGATTTCTTGTCTCTTCATTTTTGCAAATCAGGCTAAGAAAATCATAGAAATTGCCAAGCAACATTTGGTGTAGTGAAGACTCCAGGGAATAGTTAGCTTGCAACATACACCTTATTCTCTAATAAACATATATTTTAACTAATATCCAATGTGTATGAATAGATCAGAAGAGACATTTTTGGAGATGTTTCCATATCGTTATCTCAAAGGGATAAATTTAGTACAAAATTAACAGGTAACTTGACAAAATAATCAAAGATTTTGGATGGAATATAAAAGATGTTTCTAACTGTTTAGAGCTTATTTAGTATGTAAAGCTTTCCATACTTATAGAGAGACCTACAGTGGTCACCAGAGAAACAAACAAGGAAATAAATTTCCATTGGTTCTATGAAAAACTACATTTTTATTTACCATTTCCTGTAAATGTGAGAACTTAGAGGAACATTTATTTATAAATTAGTATTTGCTAGGAAACTTGGGAGTCTTGAAGTGAAAATGTAATATGTTTATTATTTTGTAATGCATAACATATTTCAGTGAATTCTTGAACTCTGCAGTCACACACTCACACAAACTCTCTATGGCCCTTGTGTCTTCAATTTTGATTAAAAAATCCCCAAACATCTAATTATATCAAATGAAGGTGATATATTTTTATTTCTACTTCTCTTCCCAACTGTACTGTTGACAAGAGAAATAACATTTTAAACATAGCCTTATGTAAGAATCTCAATTGCAGTGATTTTAAAATGCATCCTTAAAATTTATTTTAATTGTGGATTTTTAGTTGGAGTGATTTTCAAGTTGAACATGAAGCAGTGAGAGAAACTGAAGATAAGGGCAGGGAATTCTTTCAGAGATGATGAGAGGAAAGCAACAGACCTAATTTGTGCAATCCTGGACAATTACATGTGGGGAACACTAGAGCATGTTCAAAATGAAACATTGTTGGTGTTAAGCAGCACAGTGGGGGCCATGTGTTTGAGAACATTGTGCTGACATAAACAAAGCAATGTTAGCATTCATGCCTAGTAGTTAAACTGACAAAGATTATGATTTGTTCTCTACTCTATGCTAGATTTATATTATCTTTTCTTCTCTCAACTTTATACTAGACTTTATGAAATTCATCTTTCTCTTCTTCAGAAATTTGTAATACCTTTGATTTTCTCCTAAATTTTTACCCAAATTGGACTGACTCCTCTAAAACCCATTATACAGACATTCAATTGTCTTACAAATTTCCTGATAATTTTCTTGTCCTATGATCTAGCAAAGGAAATTTGAAGATTAAAATTCTATAAAGCAATGAAATTATTCCCAGTTATATCAAAGCCTATTTTATGCTATAATTTCTCTTGAAGAAATTTACCCCCTTTTACAAGTTTAAGAATCACTCTCTCTCTGATAGATGATAGAAGAGATAATTGTGACAAATCCTCACCATTTTCCCAGATTTCAGTCATCTTATTCTTTTAAATCCTTTAAAAATTTTTATTATAAGTGTTTAGTATTGTTGTCAGCTCATTTTGTGCTTAATATAACGAGTAATATTGTCTTCATGTTCACTGATAGCTATGTGTTCATTTTCTTCCTGCCCACATAATCTCCTTCATTCTCTCAGCTTTTATGTAGAATGCAAAGAAAAGTTACAATCTCAAAGAAACTATAGTTTAGAAGTCAAGCTGGGATGCTTTGGATGTTAAACTGTGAGTTTGGAAGAAAGGTGATGAAAAGATCCATGTTGCATGTTATGAGTTCAGTAGATTAA